GGATGACTGCATCCTGGGACTTGACTTCCTGCAAGGGCACCAGTGTAACATGTTTGCTGGGAAAAGTTTGCTGTTTAAGAAGAACTGTTCTTGCACCAAAATCACAGACTCTCGTACCAATTGCATTACCTAGGAGGAGGGAAGGAAGTTTACCTCGAAGGTGCGCTGTGATTGATAAATCGGAACACGTAAACTCATGGCTACCGGCAAGAACTGTCGTGGGGTCATCTGATGTTAACCGCATTCCGGTATTCAACTTCAGTGATTCAGAAATTACGATTGAAGAAGGAGAGCCTGTGGGCGTATTGGAAGAAGTGGCCTGGATAAGAAAATGCTCGGAAAATCTTGTGAAGAAGGACAGTACGGGAATAGACTTTGTAACGAAAATCTTAGACGAAAACAAAAGTCTGACAAAAGTGGAGACTATGAAAGCTAGAAATTTACTTCTTCGATTCTCTGATGTGTTTTCAAGAAGCGATGGTGATATTGGCCGAACTGGTTTGGTGAAGCATAAAATAAACACAGGTGATACAATGCCAATTCGTCAAAGGCCCAGACGTATACCATTCGCTCGTGAGAAAGAGGTTGAAGAAATGATTGACGATATGAGGAAAAATGACGTGATAGAGCCCTCTTCTAGCCCTTGGTGTTCACCTGTCGTGCTTGTCAAGAAGAAAGATGGTTCAACGAGGTTTTGCGTAGACTATCGACGATTGAATGATGTAACCAAGAAGGATAGCTACCCGTTACCAAGAATCGATGACACACTTGACACACTGAGTGGCATGAAATGGTTTTCAACGCTCGATCTGAAAAGCGGCTATTGGCAGGTGGATTTGGATCCCAAGGACAAGGAAAAGACCGCATTCTCAACTGGGAAGGGACTCTGGCAATTTAAGGTGATGCCATTTGGATTATGCAATGCACCGGCAACCTTTGAGCGTTTGATGGAACAGGTGCTGGTGGGACTGCTGGGCGAAACCTGCCTAGTTTACCTCGATGACATCATCATTGTTGGACGGGATTTTGACGATCATCTAAGGAAATTGGAAAAGGTACTCGACAAGCTGCGTGGAGCAAATTTAAAGTTGAGTCCAAAAAAATGCTCTTTCTTCAAGCGCGAAGTGAATTATCTAGGACATGTTATTTCTGAGAGAGGAATTGAGACTGATCCAGCCAAGACTGTCGCTGTTAAGGAATGGCCAACACCTAAAGACAAAACGCAAGTTCGGGCATTTCTTGGATTGTGCTCGTATTATCGGCGGTTTGTGAAAGGATTCTCGGACATTGCCAAGCCATTGCATCGATTGACAGAGGAGAAACGTGCCTTTATCTGGGACGAGGATTGTGAGCAAGCCTTTCGAGAACTAAAAGAACGGCTTTGTAACACACCAATTCTCGGATACCCCAGCGCGAAAGGAATATTCGTAGTTGATACGGATGCCAGCAATATTGGAATAGGAGGTGTCCTTTCACAACGCGATGGTGAGCAGGAGAAGGTTATTGCTTACTTCAGCAAGTCACTATCCAAGCCGGAGAGGAATTATTGCGTGACCAGGAGGGAATTGCTGGCCGTAGTCAAAACTCTGCACCATTTCAAGAAGTATTTACTGGGACGGAAATTTTTGATCAGAACTGATCACGCTGCTTTGAAATGGCTGCTTCAGTTTAAGGATCCCGAAGGCCAAGTAGCCAGATGGTTGGAACAACTTCAGGAATTTGACTTTGATATCGAACATCGCGGAGGAAGAATTCATGGCAACGCAGATGCATTATCGAGACGCCCATGCGTGGAAGATTGCAAGCATTGTGCCAAGAAGGAAACTGCTTTTCTTAAGGTGATAAGGACTGATACTGTTGACGAGGCATGGGGAGATGATGCGATGAAATTAGAACAGGAAAGAGATGCAGATATTAAACCAATACTGGAGTGGGTACGAAGTGGTAACAAGCCAAGTTGGAGTGACGTCGCCCAATATAGCGTGGTAACGAAAGGTTTATGGGCACAGTGGAAAAGCCTTACGCTGCATAACGGACTTCTGTGCAGGAAATGGGAATCAACAAACGGCAAGGACGAGCATTTGCAATTGGTGGTGCCTCGTTCAAAAATAAGGGATGTATTAAAAGCGTTCCATGATGGATCTTCTGGAGGACATTTGGGAATTAGGAGGACTTTGGTGAAGATCAAGGAGAGGTTTTATTGGTTGCATTGCAAATATGACGTCGAAGATTGGTGCCGGAAATGCACTAGTTGTGCAGCTGTCAAGGGTCCACAAACAAGAAGCAGAGGGGCGATGAAAATCTACAATGTTGGTATGCCTTGGGAGAGAATAGCCTTAGACATCGCTGGACCATTTCCAATCACTGATTCGGGCAATCGCTACGTTTTAGTGGTTATGGATTATTTTACAAAATGGCCGGAGGTCTTTGCCATACCGAATCAAGAGGCAGTAACTGTAGCCACGAAGTTGGTAAACGAGGTATTCACCCGATTCGGAGTGCCCTTGGAGATGCACAGTGATCAAGGACGGAACTTTGAATCCCAAGTTTTCCAGGAAACTTGTAAACTTTTGGGAATCCATAAGACTCGAACGACCCCTTATCATCCACAGTCAGATGGAATGGTCGAACGCTTCAACCAAACATTGGAGCGACACTTAGCAAAGGTGGTTGACAGCCATCAGAGAGATTGGGACACTTACATACCTCTCTTCTTGCTTGCCTATCGGACTGCTGTACATGAAAGTACCGCAAAGACGCCTGCATTTGCAAATTTTGGAAGGGAATTGAGATTACCGGCAGATCTTGTATCGGGCTGTCCACCTGGTGACTCTCGCACCGAGTTTAGCGATTACATAAGCGAGTTAAGGGCAAAAATGTTGGACATTTATGAGCAGATCAGGGAGGCCGGTCTTCAAGCTAGTGATCGCGCAAAGACGCGCTATGATCGACGAGCCAATTCTGTTGGGTTTGAAGAGGGGTCATTGGTCTGGCTTCATAATCCAGTCAGAAGGAAGGGAAAATCTCCAAAGCTGCAACCGAGTTGGGAAGGTCCTTACGAGATAGTCACGAAGATCAATGACATTACTTACAGAATTCGGAAGTCTTCAAGGAGCCCTTTGAAAGTTGTCCATATAGACAGGTTGGCGAGGTATTACGGCAGCAACGATGCTCGGGACGAGCGAATCTAAGAGGGGGGCAGTGTGACAGAAAACTCTTTGACATCATGACGTCAATGGATGGTTGTCAAACGTTGCCTAGAGATTGTAAATTTCGTCGTGAATTGTCAACACGAGTTGGTGTAATCGGTAAGGCGTGTGGATTACACCACAGAGACCCCGAGTTCGAGTCCCGCCGTAAACATGAAGTTTTTTAGTTGATGGAAGTTTTGTCGAACTTTCTGGAATATTTGAGTGAAAGTAATGAAAAATTAAGGAGCGAGAAGGAGAATAAATAAAAATGAATAACGAAATTATTGGAAGGTTCTGGAGGCATGACGATCAAAAAGAATAACGAAATTGAATGTTCTAGAACCTGACCGGGGGTATATAACCGGAACTGCGGCTCACCGCTGGCAGTTGAGTTCTAAGTCTAAAGCGATTCGGAAGAAAAGGAAGAAGTGAGAAAGAAGAAAAGTGAGTGAAATAGTGAAGTGCAGTGAAATAGTGAAGTGCAGTCAGTTAAGTGAGTTAAGTCAGCGTGAACGGCAAAGTTGTGTCAGTCGGCCGGACTCTGCTGGAGAGGAACGCCGATAACTTAACTCCGTGGACGCTGTAACTTAAGTGCAATAGAAAGTCTGAAAACCGGTATTAGTGTTTCATTTCATCCAATCCCGTAACCCAAGCCCGCATAGTCAGGAACGTGACGTCAGGCACGTAACAATAGTTTACTCTTCACATCATCAGCCTATAAAGGCCCACAGCCTACAAAGGGTCTTTTCTTACACGGATCAATAATCAAGGTTAGAGCATGGATCACAATGCTTGCTTAATATAGATTGGCGATTTCAAACTTATAATAACTAGAATTTCTCACTATGTTTCCTTTACTGTTTATCAGTGATGTCTAAATATTCTTAAAAAGTACATATAACTTAGAAAATGTCTCATTGGTACTTACTAGGTCTAGAACTGATACCCTTATGCATGAGAATCAGGAGCCTTAACCTTCAGGTCAGTATGCACTGTGTGAGTGAGTGTACCGGAGGTCCAATCCTTACTTTGCCCTCACTCCCTATACCCAGATCTGTAATCGCCAAAAGACAGGCAACATACTTTTTTTTTATGTAATAGCTCGGCAAACGAGCAAATGGATTACCTGATGGTAAGCAATCAGCACCGCCCATGGACACTCGCAACGGAGGAGTTACGAGTGCGTTGCCGACCTTTTAGGGATTAGGGATTTGGAGATTAAGGGATTGAGGAGGGATTGGGGAAGGGAAAGGATTGGGCCTCCGGTAACCTCACTCACACGGCGAAACACAACGCAGTGGTTATTTCACGCCGGTTTTCTGTGAGAATGGGTCGGCTCGACCGAAGTGATACCACGGCCTCACAGAAAACCGGCGTGAAATAACCACAGGCAACATACTTCTAATAATAATTCTTTGATGATGCGGGTTCATGGGCGGCGACTTACCTTCAGGTCATCCGTTTGCTCGTTTGCCGACATATCACATACAAAAATACATGTTTATTTATTAATCAGATTCTTGTATGACGTGAGCTCACTCACACACGGTTAAACGCTAATCAGTTTGTCACTACTTAAATATACCTATGTGTGGTGTGAAACACGCCACTAATTGAATATATGCTGAGTGACAGTGTTAATGAAATCCGATAAAATTATTCTTAAAATCCGCCTTGAGCAAGTATGGTGATTAATGTTCAAACCTTCTCAGTTCACGATGAGGTCTTTGCTTAGCAGTGGGCACTTATAGACTATTGATGTTGATGAATAGAATGGATAAATAAAACCTTGTACTTGGACTGTTCCAGGTGGTCGAGTCCACATTACAGCTATATCCACTTACTACCTGCAGAAAGCCATCGTCATTGCCATCAGGTACTCCGCAGTGAGGAAGCAGTTCGGCCCTGAGAATGCTAAAGAGGAAACTCCAGTCTTGGAGTACCAGCAACAAGTAAGATTTCCTATGTTTCATTTTGATTAAAAACAATTATGTACCTAAAGAGTGGGAGAGTCATACTTTGGCACGAGTGGGTTTGGCTCGACCGGAGTGATAACAGGGCCTTACAGAAAATCAGCGTGATACAACCACAGCGTTGTGTTTCGCCGTTTGAGTGAGGTTTCCGGAAGCCCGATTCTTAACCTCCCCCCAAGCCCGCCCCAATTCCTAAATATCCAAATCAGCGCCACTCATTGACCCCCGCAACAACAGAGGAGTTACATGGTAGGGCCATGTAACTCCTCTGTTGTTGCGGGGGTCAATGAGTGGCGCTGATTGCTTACCATTAGGTAGTCGGCCTGCTCATTTGCCGCCCTGCAGCACGCGATATACATTTGTTTCGCTGCACTATGAATGAATACACTCGGACTGCATTAACATCAAAAAAACTAATTATGGTGGTTTAATTATTTATAATTTTTTTCCTACTCTCCTCTGAAATACAGGATTTCCTAGTTTAGGCACCTAATATTCTGAACTTTTGTAGCTTCAAGCAAAAGTGTACATTCTAGATTAATATTTTCCAAATATTCTTTTATAATTATTGTTAAAAGATTGACTAGAATTTTAAAAAGCTTTACTTTTTTTATTGTTGTGGTAATGCGCATGTTAGTTAATCAATTAATTAAATTTTCTAGCAAATCCGTCTCCTACCGTACTTGGCAGCCACGTACGCTATGAAGATATTCTCCGTGTGGCTCAGTTGTCTACACATCAACATGACTATCAGCAGCTATGTCGGTACGTTGACATTTATGCACAGCCAGGACCTGGTTCAGGACCCAGCTAATAACAATAAAATAGCGATGAGGACACAGCCAAAACCGTCAACAGTGATAATTTTATACTAGCGGGTCCGAGCTATAATTATGTTTTCTTAGATAATTTAAACACCACGATGTTCATTCACCGTAAGTCCATACGGTGAATGAGACGTCGTGAGGAATTTTGGACTTATAATTTATAGTTATAAGTTTGAAATCGCCAATCCGCCTTGAGCAAGCTCAAACTTTCACCGTGTAAAACGAGGTCTTTTTTCAGCAATGGGCACTAAGTTTGATGATTGACCCCACATTTAAACTATTACAATGGTTTTGTGAGGCTTAGCTATAATGTACTTACTGTGATATAAAGAGAAATAAATAAATGTAATACTACTTCCCTTAAATTACCTATAAAAATACGTAATCTAAGTACTTATGAAAAGGAATTACTAAATTAAATAATGATAATTTTTTTGTCATAACAATGTATTTTTGAGTTAGGAAATTACCTAATGGTGTTATTTTATAGGTGAAGATCCGAATGCGGCGGCTCGTGGTATAGAGTTGCACGCGTTGTCGTCGGCCGTGAAGCCATTGTTCGGCTGGACCTCGAGGGACGGCATACAGAACTGCAGGGAGGCCTGCGGGGGACACGGGTACTTGAAAGGTAACTTTTATAATATAAGTAATTATTTTGGGGAGTAGAAAAAGAAGGTTAAATCATCAAAATACTTCTTTTGCTTAGGGTGACGCGAGAAAGAGTGTCAGACTCTTCTTACTGGCTAAAACTCCAACGTTTCTTCTCTCTAAGCCGAGGACGTGGTATCTTATTGCTCTTGACCCGCGGTTCCGACTGATAATATAAGTACTTATGGGGTAAATTCAACCAATTAGCAAAGTTGAAGCCGCGAATATTCCAATTGTTATTATGAATATTAAAATTACGCAGTTGGATCATTATCATAATGCTATTGAAATTTAATAATGATCTTATGGATTCAGCAGCGCCAACTACGGTTTTAAGAAGTATATCTACTATTAATATATGTTTTATTATCATATGATTCGATATTGAGTATCAAATTACAAAAATTGCGAGAAAAATGAACAGTATATAATAAAAATAAATGAATAAATTAAATTTCGCTCGCTATGGCAACCCCTTTAAACATTTTCTCTGTTAGCAATTATAACAGTTACTATACAAACATTTGCTACCAGCGGCGGCTATCGGCGACCTGCGCAACGACAACGACGCGAACTGTACGTACGAGGGGGAGAACAGCCTGCTGCTGCAGCAGGCCAGCAACTGGCTGCTCGCCGTCTGGCCGCGCCGGGATCGACTACAGCCGGCCGACTCCCCGCTCGGCTCGCTAAGCCTCCTACAAGACGCCGACCAGCTTCTCCGAGAAAAATGCTCCTGGAACACCGTCCAGGAATTCACGGAGCCAGCTAGTAAGTTGTCATTGTTCTGTGGCTGATAAACAGATGGATCTGATGGCGAGTACTTCGGACATGTTAAGAAGAGTTACTATGGAACACTGTCGAGGAATTCAGGGAGCCAGCAAGCAAGTTATCATTGTTTTGTAACTGATGAGCAGATCGCTCACCTAATGACGACCAATTGGGATCGTAGATGTTATGTTAGGAGGAGTTAGAAATGAGCTGTTATATTTTGGATATTTAGGCGTCGTGGGGATTTGGCCTCCGGTGACCGTCATTTACGCGATAAAATTGGGCACTTAAAGACTGATACATGAATAATAAAATAATTTTCCTTCCAGATTTGATCCACGCATACAAATGGCTGACAGCGTTCATGCTGAAAATGACAGCGGAGAAGGTGGCACTACTGAAGAGCAAGGGCAAAGACAACTTCTCAGCCAAGAACGAGTCACAGTCTTATAACGCGGTCACTCTATCTATGGTCTATGGAGAGGTATATTATGTTGTCTATTAAAAAACTGACGAACTGCTTCGGCTTCGCACGGGTACAATGCTGGTGCTAAATTTCTCCACTATTTAAACCTTTCTCTTCAATCACTCTATCTTTAACTAGCGACTGTCGCGCGATTTCACCCGCTGCTCGTCTCCTATTCGCGTATTGCGTTGAGAATTGGTGGGGATGTAGTTTAGAACTAAAAGAACATAAGATAGGCAGGTCGGGTAGGTAGGAAAGGGTGGGTAGGGTAGATAGTTCAGGGTAGGTAGGGTAGCGTAGGTAATGAAATGGCGGGAGTGAAACCGCGGGTTAAAGCTAGTATAAATATAAAAATATATCTTTTGACATACTTCCTCATAAAGTAGCTCTAATCTCACGGATATTAGGCACATAATGACACCTACAATGAAACAGTGACTTGAGTGAGTTTTTTTTTTATTTTTGGGTTGGGTTTTTTGAGTTGCGCTAACACTTGCGCTAAAAATTTTATCCGTGAAAAGCCCAAAACAAAAGAAACATATTTTTTTTGTCAATGACCGATGCGCGCGCGTAGGAATACTCATTATTTTTTCCCGCCATTACGAAACATTTTTCACAACTCGTCTCGTTTTCTCTTTTGAAGTTGTTTATTTATGACAATAATAAAGCCTTTATTTCCAAACTTTTGACATATTTAAAACAAAGTACTTAAAACTAAAATCTACATTTAACTACAAATAGTCTCTTAGTTCGGTGTGCCTTATGGCAAAGGCCTCCTCCAACTCTTTCCACTCCTTTCTGTCTGCCGCCACTCTTGTCCAGAGGGGACCTAGAGTAATTTTCAGGTCTTTTTTATTTAAGTACCTATTATTTTATTCAGAAGTGCGCTGAAAAACTTCCTATTATACGTGTGTATTAATGATTACCGACCGTTTTCACAGAACTACGTACTGAACAATTTCTATAAAGCTGCGCAGGAGTTTGACGACGTTAACTGTCGCGCCGTCTTACTCAAGTTGGTGGCTTTGTACGGAGCCTTCCTATTGGAGAAACATTTGGCCACGCTTTACATTGTGAGTAACATTTATTTATCTATCTATAAGTATAATATATAATTGCCTCTGTGACTTTTATAAGTAACATACTTTTTGAATTCAATGTTGACACTTTTTTGGGGGCGTTAACCTCTTAATGACTTCCCTCGACCTGAGTTGGGCAAGAGAGAGTGTCAGACGCTTACGCAAACACGCTTGAACTCATAATTTCTAAATATAAGTTTGATATTAATACCAATCTGCTTTCAAAAAGCGTGGTGATAACACATTAGTTTTTTTTTAACTTATTTCTCACTACTTTCTGCAGTGTCGTGGGTGTGTTTACAAACATACAATTTAACACACCCAGATCCCAGAGTTATTCGGTGCGGGAATCGAACCCGCAATAAGTTGCACGGTAGCCCAGCCACCGCGCCAACCCTGCAGTCTATCTATTGAGGCTTTTTCCCAACAATGGTCACATATAGACTAATATTCATGATTTTGTTTAATAACAGGGCGGTTACCTGACGGGGGAGCAAGGGTTATGTCTCCGCGACGGTATCCTACAGCTTTGTGCCCAGCTGACTCCTGAGGCTGTCTCTCTCGTCGACTCCCTAGCGCCTCCAGACTTCTGCCTCAAGTCCGTACTTGGAATGTCCGACGGAGAAGTAAGTTATTTCTTGAACACTTTTCTGTTGTACCGATTTGATTGAAATTTGGTAGATATGTTTTTATTATTTATTTTTTTAATATAAACATAAGCCCCACATTAGGATTTTCTCCTGTGTCGTGGGTGCGTTTACAAACATACAATTTCACATGCACATCACACCCAGACCTGGAACAACAATCCGTGGATCACACAAAGAGTTGTTCCGTGCGGGAATCGAACCCGCGACACGTTGCGCGGCAGCCAGTTGCCCAGCCACCGCGCCAACCGTGCAGTCAAGTCAAAAAAGCCTTTTTCACGTGACCGTTTGTGACCTTACACGAACATGCTCAACACTGTGCTTAAATGTGAGCTCCACGCGTAGCTTGAAAGTAGTCGAGTTCCTCGTCAAACAGAAACGTACCGTACGTTAGCATAAAGACATCATATGTTGTCGATTTCACACAAAATTCATAGAAAATTATCGTTTTTCATTTGAATAATAATATTAATAATATAATATTACTTTATTGACCAACCTTTTTACATTACAGGCGTACAAACACATCCAATCCAGTGTGATGACGTACCCGGGATCAATGACCCGGCCCGAGTGGTGGCGCGACGTAGTCTACTGGCAGTCCTACGCACCCTCCAAGCTGTAAACTACCCTATTCACCGAGCAATAAAGACGAGAATCAACTGTGCATAATAATTTAGTCACAATATTTTTATTGATTTTAATGTTGGTGTAAGATTTTCTAGAATAATGAAAAAGCATAATTTTGAAGATAGAATATTGCTTATATCGAACCTTTAAGGTTGTTTATATGTACAGACTATGTCAAAGAAAAATTTACTTACGGCAGTTTTGATAAGGTTGATTTTACTATATCGTACCATGCTGACTAATGTTCTTTAAAACCCGTATCTAAAAAGGGTTTATTTAATTTTTTAATTATTTTATAGAAAAGCTACGAATGATGGATGTGTTGTTGATAATTTGATTATAATAATTATTTTTTTATTAATAGATCCATAAAAAACACTTTTAAAAGTGTGATATTATTTCTATACAATTCCGAAATAGCATTTACTTTTTTCAAAAGATTTAAAAGAATTTGATTGACTCCAGATTAAACGATTTTTTTTGAGGAATTGTCGAGGCGACAGCGAATTTCAGAGTCTTATTATCAACCATGGGCTTTGATTCTGGTACGACGGTCAGCTTGCACAAAGGACTATAAAAATCCTGATGTGGAAGAGTCATGAACGTTTGGACCCGTTCGATCGTAATGATACTACGGCCTTACAGAAAACCGGCGTGAACCAACGCTTCCATTGTGTTTCGCCGTCTGAGTGTATCTTGCCTTTCAAACGCTTGTCATGTTCAAAGAAAGTATCCAATATTCAACTAAAAACTTTAAATTCAAATACTAAAGTCCATTTTTATTTGCACACATTCCTATATAGGACGATAAAATAAATAAATTCGACAAGTTTTAAAAGCAATCTTTCAAATTTGAACTCTAAAGCTATCAATAATTAAATGATATTTAGATTGTAAGTTCAAAGTTGTTACCTGAAATTATTGGCCTTGAATAACTTTATTGTCATAATAATATAATATAATATTTTTTGTAGTATTTTTACCATTTTTTCTGTAGTCGATAAGATGAAAGTTTTTATATTTTTTTGTTATATGGTGGAGATATATTTTATACAGGGATTTTTAAATAAATGTTTCATAAAAAATTAGTTTGTTTCATTAAATTAACTAGGTATTATGTAAAAATTATTGTGGGTACTTATGGTTTTTTTTGTTTTCTGCCCTTCACTAGCATTCTCTCATGTATCGTGGGTGCGTTTACAAAAATACAAACTCACATACACAAGCCACCCAGAACCGAAACAACAATTTGTAGATCATACAAAGTGTGTGCTTGTGTGTGCGGAAATCGAACCCGCGACACGGCACACAGCAGGCATTCGCCCATCCACTGCACTAACCGTGCAATCAAGGATGGTGGTAGCCCGGAGAAGGTCGGCGACTTGTCTCAGGACACGGCGGTGCTCAGCCCAACCAGTCACACCAACACGTGTGGGAGAGCCATGGGTCGGCTCGACCGGAGTGACACCACTGCTTCACAGAATACCGGGGTGATACAACCACAGCGTTGTGTTTCGCCGTGTGAGTGAGGTTACCGGAGGCCCAATCCTTTCCCTCCCCATCCGAAAATCCCCAAAAGATCGGCAACGCACTCGTAACTCCTTTGGTGTTGCCAGAAAACACTGACGTGCCCGGTAAGCACCTGCGTTAGGTAGAAGTTGAGGACATCATGGCGTCTGTTAGATTTATAACGAAATAAAAATTTCATGCTACTAGCGACATCTGTCTGCAGGTATAACAATCTATTAGTTCTGCTATTGTTTTTCGTACAAATAAAAAACCGTTAGTCTGTGAAAGTTTAACGTGTGTTTCATTAGCGTCTCTTTAACCACTCCTCAAAGACGCTGCTATTGCCCGATGTAGAGTAGGAGTTCCCATTTTATATCCTGGGTATACATATAAAGCTTTTTTTCCTGTTGCAACAACCAATTTTCATCCATAAAATTCTTATTATTCCTAAAGGTCAATATGTTGTCTGTTCAAGAACCTAAACAGGCAGGTAAGTAAATTGAATTTGTAATGAGGAAACAAAATAGGGCTCTGTGATTGAATTTTAAATATATAATCAGCATGTCAATCATTCTGTCCGTCTGTGAACCAATTAAATGTTCCCATTATCTAACCTTTCCATTGTTTACTTGATGTTCAAGTAGGGTGTATGTTTTAAGTCTTAAATTATGTTAAAAATACTAATATTTTTTGCCCTATTTTCCACGTAAGTGATACATATTGTTATCCTAGTAATACCTATTATTACCTAATGTAAAAGTTTGTGAGAATGTATGGATGTAGGTACATGTTTGTTATGTCACGCAAAAACGGTTGGACTGATTTGGTTGAAATTTGGTATGTAGATGCTGTAGAGCTTTTCATCAACATACCACGCGGGCATTTTTTGTTATTTATTTAGGTAGGTAAGAACTTATCTACGTATAATTTAAGTGTTCACAATTTGTACCTACCTATTTTTGACGGGCGAAAATCAGGGGGAGGCGAGAGAGTGTCAGACCCTTACTGACCAAAACCCCCGCGAACCTTCTCCTGCTCTTTAGGCCGCGGTACCTCATTGCGCTTATGTACCCGCTTAGGACCTAAATATGTAAGTAGCTATAAGTAATTTAAATGTCATCAAATAATTTCAGTTTGCAAGTCGAATCATTTTCCATTTTAAAAGACTTGCATGAACGGAAAGACCTGGAATTTCTCCTGATAGACCTGTTAAATGTCCTGACGAGAGACTATGAGGTGACCTGCTTCGCAATTATTTGTGATGAGGTTTATCTGAACGTCTTCGGTGGGCCATTGTTCAAAAGAACTGGGTCTGTGCCCTACGTCATGGTAAGTGTTAATGGCATATCCTTTGAGACTCATGCAAAAAGTTACAATGACTGAAGGCTGAAGGCGTACGAAAATCCAAGACCTGCATGTTATGAAGTCTGCGGGTTGGAGGTACCTATTTCATCACCATCATTAATAAACTTAAAAAAACCACCCACACGATGTGGCCCGTCTCCAGTTTTATAATCAGAACCGCTAAGGAGTGGAATTATTTGTCGGAGTCTGTGGTTCCCCAAAGGGTACCAAAGACTCCGGCAAACTTGGGTGTCTTCGAGGCCCAAGTGAATAGGTTGCTTATAGCGAGCTCCATCGTAAGTCGTATCATCGCTAACCAACAGCGGCGATAGCGGTCAAATATCTGCCCATTAAAAAATAAAACTAAGAACAAACATTTTAGTGATTTTTACATTTTTAAGTATCTACTTAGGTAGGTGCTCATTCCACTTTTTGTTTCAAGACTGTTGTAGAAGATTACGAGGACTTGTTATCTCCAAACTTCGTTACATTAGAATCATTGAGGGCTGCTAGAAAAGAAGGATGCAACGTTTACGTCATACTGCTTGCCAATGGACTGCAAGCTTCGCGCTTGTTAAGGTTCGGAGACAGGTGAGGAAAAATCTATATAGCCAACCTACCTTTGTGTGAACCTAAGAATATATTTGTGCTAGTCACTTGAAGATCTGAAAGTCTTCCAACTTCAATTTAATTATTAGTAGCATAATTTTGCATGTGACAGTTCTATTCTTTCAAAAGATTACTACTTATTGTACTTCTGCTATAAAAGTTATGAAGTTCCATTTTACCAAACTATTCATAACATTCTTTTTCAGACATCGGATTCTCGACACTAGAGCTAAATACATAATGCTACACGACTTCCGACTATTTCGCAGCGAACTCCATTACATCTGGCGCAGAATAGTCAACATTATATTCGTAAAATACCACAAAAAGATTTTGGGCGTATCGAAAAGTCGACCATGGTTTGAGCTCTCCACCGTACCATTTCCAAATCCGATAAAAGGAGTTTTTGTTCCAAGACGCGTGGATATTTGGAAAAACGAGAATTTTTACTACAAAAGGCCTCTGTTTGCGGACAAAACTAGCAATTTGAATGGTGAAGTGCTGAATGTTGTTTATTTGGACCACGTTCCTTCTGTTGTAGTTGTTAAAAACAATGCCACTACTAAAATAGGAGGCGTTGAAGTTGAGGTGATTAATGGACGTCTTCTTATACAACTACCTACCAGTTTAATAGATTAAGCTCGCCTTTTTGCGTCCACAACCCAGTTAGCTACTATTTGGACTGTAGCCCGATCACCTCGCTTGGCCAGAGGATCCTCCTTTTCCAATGTTTGGGAATTTTAATTCCCTAAATTATGGCGAAATGTTCTTATATACTTAGGTATTTAGGTGTCTTTAATCGAATAATATTTTTAATGGTCAAGATTCAAGACTGTCTAAATTAGGTAGATATCATAAGCATATGAACGATTCTCGAGTGCCATCCACCTATTATCATACCGACAGAATAAACACCGAGAAAAAAATATGAATTCTCTCACAATAGCTAATATGTATAACATGTTTTTCGGTGGGTCTGTGCACTTTGGGTTTTGACTTTGGGTCGAAGCGGCGAAAATAATACTACTACTACTACTACTACTAACTTCCATTATTAGGCATTCTAATTCAAGACTTTCTTCGTTTTGTTTCAAACTTCCAGATCTTACATACGTTAGCCGAAAAAATGAACTTCAAACCAAAACCATACCAGGCTATAAACGCTGACCTTCACAAATGGGGCCAGAAACAGCCTAATGGCTCTTTTTCTGGACTGTTGGGTGAGATGGTAAATGGGAGGGCGGATGTGGCGTTGGGGAACCTGCAGTACACGCCTTACCACCTGGAACTGACAGACTTGAGTATACCTTATACATCACAATGTTGGACATTCCTGACACCAGAAGCTTTAACTGACAATTCTTGGAAGACCTTAATTTTACCGTTTAAGTAAGAACATTAAAATTTAGTAACATGAGTAATGTAAGAAATACAGAACAAGTTACATCGGTAAAGAGTCGATAGCCATAAGCTGGGGCTTGTGAGAGCCTACTTCACTTCCTGGATGAACACCGTCATCGCCTAAATTGGGCCTCGGGTCTTTATGGTCCATTCATCATAGCTCAAGAGCTCTATGATGATATTTGACCTTATAACCCCGACTGCACGGTTGGTGTTATGGCTAGTTACGAAACGTGTCCTGGTAAACGCTGCGAGGTGTTATTTATCTGAGCAGTTCATGATTATTGATCTGGGCAGTTTTCCTGATTTGTGACATAGTTTTGCAATGTTTTACATAGTCACATAGGATACAGGTTGTATCTACTGCATTGTCTAGTTAACGGTAACGATTTCTTTCAGATTGTACATGTGGATAGCAGTTCTCTTGGTGTTATTAATAACTGGGACTATTTTCTACGGTTTAGCGAAAAACCACATGAACTTGCAAGAATACAAAAAACTACGTGTAACGCAAACCAAACACGACGAAGACAATGGTAAGTACTTTCCTTATGTTTAAATATCTACCTACACTTAACACACATCTAACTAGTATACTGTAAGTAATATAGCGAAACCGTGCTAAATAAAGGCATCCGTTATTATTTACAGACGCAAAGCCGGGACTTTATTTGTTTGGAGAAATAATAAACAGCATCCTGTACACTTATGGAATGCTGCTAGTCGTCTCACTACCGAGGCTGCCAACGGGATGGTCAATAAGGCTCTTAACAGGCTGGTATTGGCTCTACTGTATACTGCTGGTGGTTTCTTACAGAGCCAGTATGACCGCTATACTCGCCAACCCCGCGCCCAGGGTAACCATCGACACACTTCGAGAACTCGTCGATAGCAAAGTCACTTGCGGCGGCTGGGGCACGCAATCCAAAAAATTCTTTCAGGAGTCTCTTGACGATAACACCCAAAAAATCGGGGAGAAATTTGAAACTATAGACGACCCTTTGAAGGCTGCTAATAAAGTTGCAGAAGGAGTATACGCATATTACGCCAATTCTGATTTTCTTAAATATATAAGTGTTGTAAGGAAAACTGCGTTGAAAGGTTCAAATGATAACTCCACTAATACAACAGAAGTCACGCCTAAAAAAGATACACAAAGAAACCTGCACATAATGTCTGACTGTGTAGTTAACATACCAATATCTATTGGTTTTCACAAAAACTCACCCCTGAAGCCGCTGGCTGATGTGTACATGTGGAGGGTTGTCGAGGTTGGACTTGTTGAGAAATGGCTGAATGATGTGATGTACCCCATCCACTCACTAGAAACAAATGAAGATGAGGTGAAAGCCCTAATGAACCTTAAAAAACTTTATGGCGCCTTTATTGCTTTGGCCATAGGATACACCCTCAGTGCTCTTTGCCTTACCGGGGAATTAATTCATTGGCACTTTATTGTTAAAAGAGATCCTAACTTTGACAAGTATGCTCTCCACTTGTATTACAGAAAGAAAAACTATTAAGTTTCAAATTATTTATTAAAGTTATTTACATTTACCAACATGATTGTTACTTTATGCAATAAATACCTATTTTGTTCAGTCACGCTAAAGTCACATTTGTTGTTCTTGCAAATTGAAACATTCATATAATTATTCATGGTCTAAAATTGTATGTATTATTAGAAATTATCTTGGTTATATGCTAAAATAAATGTTGAAATTTATCTAAATAGTACATTATTTTTGAATTAAATATAAGATCTATAATTATTTTTGTTCAGGGTTGAATGCAGGTGGTTGTGCACCTTCTGGAGCATTTTCTGTGATCCAAGGATGCTGCAATACATTTATCAAAGGCAGTCTTTGTTCTGGGTTGATAACTAATAATTTACCCATCAAGTCTTTAGCTCTCTCCGATATAAAATCTGGATACTTGATAATCACGTAGCGTATCTTCCTGTATGTTTGATGAGAGTCTTTAGCATCAAATGGAGGTAAACCAACAAGGAGTTCATAGCAGAGCACCCCAAGGCTCCATATATCCACAGCATAGTTATGCGGCTTGCCCTCAATCATTTCTGGAGACAAGTAGTCCAGTGTACCACACAAGGTCATTCTTCTTGATGATGGTGAATGCACTGACCAACCAAAGTCAGCTATCTTCAACTCCCAGTTGTGACCAATAAGTAGGTTCTCAGGTTTAATGTCGCGATGAATGACTTTCTTAGCATGACAATATACAAGAGCTTTAGTCAAATCCCTAATGTAAATTGCTACAGTTTTCTCATCAAAACGTTCACGCTCTTTCAGCAACTTGTACATGGATCCGTGTTTAGCGTATTCCAAAATTAAATAAATACGTTTTTCGTCGTGAAAATATCCATACATACGCAGTATATTCGGGTGACGGAGTCTGCATTGTATTTCAACTTCTCGCCGCACTTGATGTTCGATTTCAGAATCTAATATTTGACTTTTGAATAGTACTTTCAGGGCAACGACATAGTGAGACTCTTTTTCACGTGCTAAGTACACGTTACCAAATTTGCCTTTACCCAAAGGTCGGCCCAGGTCGAAATCTGAGAGAGACCATGATTTCTTCTTGTCTTCATTTTTACCTGGGCCACTTTGACTCGCCAGCTGATGCTCTTTGTTTTCGTTTACTTTGCCGAGAGGTCGACCAATAGGGGCAGCTGGCACTTTGAAACTGTTCATTGGCATTTTGGGACCACTGATATTACAACCACAACCAGACCGCCCAGCAGTTGGTGGACGGTTTTCTTTACAACTGCACTTATTTATATTCATTATTACAAAGCACACTCCTCGAGCTAAATCAGTTTTATTTGTTCAAGTTCAAAGTTTCAAACTTTCAATGTAACGTCTATTTCAATCACTCAACAAACTGACGTCCTGACAGCCAGCAAGAAACAAGGAATAATGTTGCCATGTGCATGTATTAAGAATATAGCTGCATTTTACTTTTACATTATTATAATTAACATGGTTAAATATAGCTTGAAATGATAATATAAAACACCTTATAAAGATGATTTAAGGCGTCTGTATACAAGCCTAAGTTTTTTTTATAATTTTTATGTTTATTTTAAAGCAATCAATTTCTTCAAAATAATCCCTTTTTTCTGCCACACAAGTTCACACAACAAACGTTCAAAGAGATTAATCTGTAAAAAGATAAGGACCAACTCGAACGTCTAGTTACTATATTATCACAACACGATATAATAGTATGTATGTATGTATCGTTACGGGACGTGACCACTTTTCGCCAATTCGCCACTCCTTAGAAACGGTGAATCGGGGAGTACAGAATTCGAAGGGTAAATAGACGTAGCCGAGGGGCAAATAGATACTAGAAAAATTCGCCAATAATCTATAAATCTATTCACCCCTTTTGTGTTCCTATTCACCCCGTTTTAAATACAATGTATGTTTCATATAACCATATATTCAATAATATATATTTAATTCTGGCAATAAAACTGTAAACAGCTGATGTTACTATGTTCATTAAGTCAGTAAATATCCATATCCTTATCTAGGAAAAAAACTGCGTTGCTGTCACTCCCGTTTGCCTGTCGTTTCTATTTCATTTTACAATTATTGTGCTTGTGAAAACTCAAAAATGCAATTCTAAAGTGAAATTTATAATTTTAAAAGACTTTGACATCAAAATAAATTAATTATATTGTTTTAATAGAAAGTGTAACAAGTTTCTTACTATAGTTTTATTTGAGTAAGTTAATTTCTTTTTAGAAGATCGACAGCTGCTTTACTGCCAGTGTGCAAATATCATGAGAAGCTTGATTAAATAACACAGTTTCTAGTTTTATAGAAACCTTTATTTATCAACAGGTAATATTTTTACATAGACTAGGCAATTCTACTAAACAAAAATCCACAAAACCCAATTCGAGGTTAGGTATGTTTTGAAGAAAAAATGGTAAAATGTTGTAAATATATGAAATATGTATATATCTATGTAGTTTACCACGTTACCTGGCGTCGATATCTCGGTACATTGGTTCATAGTGTGTGGATTTAAAACTATAAGGATTATAAAAACAATTATGTCACATAATAACTATGGGTTATAACTTCAAATTTGGAAATAGGCATTAGATGGCTAGGGGATTACTGAAATAGAAAACTATACCCTTCAAGTATTGTAAGATAATATAAAAAGTTTGGTTCAAAGTAATGTTATTTTTCTAGAAATAAACCTTGAGCAATGTCTGATGATGCGGAGCAGCAATCTGAGGAGATAGAAGTATTGAAATCAATATATGAAGGAGATGAAAACTTCAAACAAGTTGACGCCACAACCTATCAATATAAGGTTAGTTCTTCAGTTTATCATTAAATGAACATTGCTGTAGTTTTGACTTCAGCCAAAAAGGAAGCTATTTGTAACATTGTATACATCTGAGGGCTGAGGGCATGGTTGAAGTGGTGGGCAACCTGCTGCCATGTCATATTCACATGTAGAGCAACTCTTTGTGTTATCCATAAATTGTAATTCCATATCTAGGCGTGGTGTGTATGTCTAATTGTATGTATGTAAACACATCCATGACATAGGACAAAATCTCTTTATAGAAAACTAGCTACTCCCGCGCGGTTTCACTCTCTGCTCGGATCCATTTGATTGTAGCGTGATGTTTTATAGCCTATAGCACTCAGGAACTTTGCAGGAACTTTGTAGCTGTCTATCAGTGAAAGAATTTTGGCAATCTGGCCAGCGGTTGCAAAGATTACCCCCTACATACGTACTTACAAACATACAAACATAAAAACTTACAAATTTTACCTCTTTATAATATTAGTATAGATTAAATGTTTGTAATCAGATGATCATTACACTACTTCATTTAATAAATTTCAAATTGTCAGTCACAACGTTGCTTACCATCAGGTTAGTAAATGAAGACACATTAACCGATTAAGAATTCAAAAAATATATGTATGTAAGGTTTTACTTTCCTTTACTAGGGAGTGTCAAGCTTGGATAACCATTGGTGGGTTCAACCAGAGTAATACTAATGTATGCAACAATTCTTACATTGTAAATGAGGTTACTGCAGGTACCCACCTTGTAACTCCTCTGTTAGAGAAGTTATTCATGGGCAGCTAATTGCTTACCATTAGGAAATCCATCTGCTGAACTGTCCCTTAAAAAGTTATTCATTATTTATATTATTTGTTCTCTGGTTTCAGTATATTGAAGGTGAGAAGTCATTTATTTTGGAAATAAAATGGGGCCCGACATACCCAACAGATAAACCCAGCTTTAATTTGAATATATTCTATAATCAAAATTTGTAAGTATATATTTCTTGTTACATTTACATTCACTAGTTCTTGTAGTTATTATGTTAGCATAGTAGTTTAGCTCATGTCATAGGTAACAATGAAACAATGAATTTATTTTTGCAAATAGGCCATAAAACGGCACTTTTACACGTCAAATTATATGTGAAAAAATAGATGAAGCCGGCATTTCCGTTTTATAACTAAGAAGAGATGTAGGTAAATAGCAAATCTCTCGCCAAGGGTGAGGCGAGAGGGAGTGTCAGACTCTTACTGACTAAAAGTCACCCTGTTCCTTCTCCTGCTCCAGGCTGAGGCATTTCAAGAATAGGGCAGTTTTCTATACAGTTAATTGTTAAAATATAATCAAGCTTTGATTCATTGATTTGAAGAGAAACACTTTCACTGTCCACTAAATAGACACAACAGTTAGTAGACAGTATAGTCAGTAGCCACTAGTCATATGTGATTCCTTGGACAAGGAAGTGCTTAAGCTTTAGACATTTTTTAGTACTCCTTTAAGATAAAAATAAAATATGATGACGTAATATTTTGCGATTTCATACAAAATTTTTAAAAAGTCTCTTTTTCGACATTACTATAAAAGTATTGTATTTGACTAGTTGTTCCTGCCATATTCAAAATAGCCTTTATTTATTTTGTTCACAGATTACCATCTGTTAAAGAGAAGATATTAAGTATAGTAGACGCAGAAGCTGAACAGTGGCTTGGATGTGCAATGACATACACTTTATTTGAATGTTTGAAGGAGAAATTGACAGAAATACTCGCAGAGCAAACGGAAGAGGTGGTGGTGTCCAGCAGAGTAGAGAAAATAGTTTTAGATGACCAGGTAAGGGTTCAGTAAATTTGGTAGTTTACTAGGCCATACTTAAATAAATTATGTTTATTTTTAAATACACATAATTAATATAATAAGACTTGACAACCACATTAAGATCCAATCCAATCCACCTTAAGATCAAGGGCCTCATTCTAATGGCAGTCCTCCTTGAAGTGGCACATATGGTGAGGAGGTTTCTGTCTCTAGAGCCCTCAACCACCGGTAGCTAGCATATTTAGATATTACATATTAAATAGTAATATTTAAAAGTGTAAATTTTAGAGTTATTTAAATCTTATATTTAACACATACTTAAATCTTTTAATTATTAAATGATTTTGCCACATATTTAACATTCAAGCATCCATTTTAAAAATAAGTATGCCATTATTTTGACATCTTCTACACAATGCATAGAAAGTATAGTTTTTGACATTTCAATAAAAAACTGAACTTGACTACCTAGTTGGAAACTATTGTATTGCCAATTTTCTCACATAACTTATACTGCAATTGCTAACATTGTTGGAGTGGAGAAACTGAAGGGAGCAAAAGTTGTTTAACATCTAAAAAAAATGAATGAACGAAATTCATCCAATGACTTCTTCCGCCTTGGGTGGGGCGAGTGAGAGTTGACATTCTTGACTCTTACTGATTAAAAGCCACTCCATTCTTTCTCCTGCTCCGGGACGTGTTGCAGTAAGTACATTATTGCACTTGCACTCGCAACCTCGATTGGACATTAGCCCTATCTGATCTAATTCCTGACGCCGGCCGCATCATGTTATCCAGGCAGTCACGCAGAACCTGGTCAACCTTAGTCTGGACTTGCCATCTGTGTCTTATAAATATAACTGACTGTCCCGCGGTTTCACCCATTGCTCGGTTCCTACTAGTGATGTTCCGAATATCCGTATCCGTATCCGCGGATATCCGAGTAAAAATAAAAATCCGTATCCGTTATTTTACACGCGGATCTTTAACGGATCTTTTTCAGTTAATCATCAGGTAGAAATAAAAAAAAATCCAGCTAGTTTTTTTAAATAATCATATATTTTGCACCTATATATTGCAAACATTTAGATACATAGATTTTTATAATGAGAACAAGTTAAAACTTTACTTTTAGGACAGTGAAATAACTAAAACATAATTATTGTTTTCTATAATTAAATGAATGACACCACACCCGCGCAATGCAAGTCAAAACATGTCGTATCTGACGTTGCGGCGAGCGAGACGTCAACTATCTTTTCAAGGCCGCGCGCGGCCGGCGACACTAATCTTATGAGAAATTGAAGATCCGTATCCGTATCCGTATCCGCGGATCTTGACACTAAATATCCGTATTAAGATCCGTATCCGCGGATCTTCATTTTTAGCGATCCGGCACATCACTAGTTCCTACATATCGTAGCGTGTTTTTTATAGTTTATAACCTTCCTCGATATATGAACAAATAAGACACAAAAATAATTGTTCAATTCGAACCAGTAGTTCCGGAGATTAGCGCGTTCAAACAATCAAACTTTACGGTTTTATAATAAATCTTATCTATAGTTATTAAAAGATTCGTTTCAATTTCATCTAATTTGCTATTTAACCTTGACAAACTACTAAAAGAGATATCACATATTTGGCCAGGTTGGTTGCCAGATTACAAATAGTCAATTTATTTAAAACTAGTGAACCCAGCATACTTCTTACTGCCTTAATACAAAAAAAAACATTTTTTTACCTTTTAAATTTTTCCTGTTTTCCACGAAAATCTCAAGCCAAAAAATTGTTGTTGTCGAGATTTAGTGAGACTAACGAATATATATTTTTTTATTTATTTAAGATAAACAAAATAGGTATTTTTTAACTAAATAATAACTTTGTAAAATTTCAGAATGAAGTCTCAAAGAAACCAGAGAAGAAGGAGCATTTAACGAAGGCTCAAAAGCGGAGAGCTTGGGACAAGGCGGAGATCGGCAGGGCGGGGGAAAAGCCACGAGGGTGGGACTGGGTGGATATCGTCAAACATTTATCCCAAGCCCCCCACCAGCCTGCCTCATGACACTCGACCACGTAACTGCGTTGTACGCCATTCCTCATGCTGACTCTGAATGGTGCTCTTATAAATAAATGTGTTTATAGCCAATCTGGTTTTTTTAACGCGACCAACAAATTACCCTGAAATCCCTGAATTAGCACTTATTATTAAGTACACGGGACGGCCCGATACCTTGTTCATAAGGCGCATCGCTGCGTAATGTACAGTAGTCAGAAGTCTCAATAAAATATGAATATTTTCGTGAAGAAGATAAGGTTCTTATGTAGTTGCTGTTTTAAGTGTGCTCTAAGCACTTTTAAATATAAGTGTATGCGTATATTATTGAGGACTTTCAAGAAAAACAAAGCTAGATATTATAATGAAAAAACTTATTTTGTTATTAGATATCTAAGAAAACAGTCTACGAACAACACTAGCTGTGATCAACAACTACAGTACAATATAATAATATAATATATATTATATTTCTTATTGTACAACATAATAAATACAATTCACGATGGACGGACCTATTTACAGTGGCGGTGTGCAGTGGTCCATTAAAGAATAAAGTTTGTTTTGAATAAATAACACAGGTAGTTGGGTAACCATGACGTCCAAAGTACCTAAGATTGTGTTAGTCAGTGTGGGTAAGAGACAGAGCTAGACAACTTGTATAGCTCTTTCTCTTACCCACACTGAAGTAAAATTAAAACAGTCTTAATTTGAATGTCATCGGTACCCCCCAGGAGAAAACAGCGCGGGGAAACGGTTATACATATGTATATGAAAAAAATAATATAGTGCTGATCTGATGATAGAAATAAAGTAACCTTTGTCCCTTCTAAACCTCATCAAGTTTGGGCTCGTTTGAATAATCAACCCGGGTTTGAGGATAGAGATAGGAGATGGCTATAGGAACACATTAAGTAGTGTTGGTGGCTATCGAGCAGAATAAAATAAAGTTTAGCCTTGACAGCTATGCGTATATTAACAGACTGGCGCGCCAGTGGCTACACTTAAAAATCATTAACTGCTAGGTATTCTAAATCTAAATTCTTACATACCTATATAGGTACTTATATACTTAACACACATACAATAAGGATTACCTACTAAACAATACGTACCTACTTATAATCTCATAAATAAAAAAAATATTTAAGTACTAGATAGGTAAGTAAGTAGGTAAGTACTTCACAATCAAAACATTTTTTCTGTAAACAATATTTCAATATTTTTAATTAAATTGCGATTTGTTTTTCTACTGTTCTAGTTTTTTTAAAGTTTCATCCCTGCATAAAAATAATGAAATCCGAACTTAAAAATATTATTCATAGGTACCTACATTATTTTATGCAGCTCATTGAAAATAGGTAGTACTGAATAACTTCGAGTAGGTACCTACCTACCCAAGACATCTCCACTATAGGTAATTTACTAAATAACAAACTAAATTCGGTAGGTACGTAATGGTATTTATTCTAAATCATATTCGGAATAAGTCATCATATTCATCAGCCCAAGACGTGCTGGACATGGACATTGGACAAAGGCCTCTACTTTAGGCCTCCACGTCGAAATGACAAGTCGCCACTTGCATCATGCTTGGACGCTACTCCACCGGTGTGACATGGAGTAAAAGTCGTCACTCATAGATAACTGGCGTGAAATAACCATAGCGTTGTGTTTTGCCGTGTTAGTGAGGCCGTATGCCCAATCCTTCCCCTCCCCCACTCCGTTCCCAAGCTTGTGGATTGAACTCCCAAGCTTGTGGATTGAACTCCCAAACCCTAATATCCAAAAGGTCGGCAACGCACTCGTAACTCCTCTGGTCTTGCTTGGAGTCTATGAGCGGCGCCAAATGTTTAACTTCAGGTAATCGGTGCGCTTGTTTGCCGACTTATAAGTATACGTACCACAAAAAAGGCGGCTGTTGGTCATAAAACAACTCCATGGTAATCTGTTGCTGGCTGACCTTTACCTACGGGCTGTAGGCAAGCTTGTTTTGCTCTTACTAGGTAAGTATATGTAACATTGAAAATACAACTAAGTAAGTACAAAGTGGTTTGCTTTTTAATTTGTGATTCCCAATTTTGTCAGTGGATTTTCTGCGTCACCACTTGTTTCGAGGTCTGAACAGGCATAAAACAAATTAAAACGATATGGTCTTACATCAGTGAACACTACCATCCTATTAGTAATTTCTGACCAGTATTGGAAAGCGCCAATACCTGCTACCTTTTCACCGATAATCAAAAGTGAGCCTGATAAAAGCCTGTGTTTGACGGATTTTTCAACGCAAATAAAATATCCCCAATGTCGTGGCAGCACTGTATCGCAATCACGTATTTGTTTATAGTCAAGCGAATTTACTTCCACCCCGTGTGTCTTAGGGTTCTGCGGTCGGTAATAATAGAAGCCAATTTGAACATAGTCACCAGGTAATTGTGGAACTGGATCAACCATATCTAGAAATAGCCCGTCGAGTGATTGTTCAAAATTAGTATCTAGGTCTAAATTAGGCCTGTGTGTATTGGCTCTGATTTTTCTAGTTAAATTTCCTTTAATTCTTAACACGAACAAGTCGTGAATTGGCGTTGTCTGGTGATTTTTATCGAACCAAAAGGGGTCAGGAATGTTGTCTATATAAACAGGTTGGCGCCCGCACACAATTTTGTAAACATCTAAATCATGAAAAAATTGCTTCTTTTGGGAATCGTACCTTCTCTTTTTCAAAACCACAGCATACGCTTTCTTAAAAGATCCTTCAGTTAAAACGAAAGGTCGCAAGGCGTTATATGATGTCAGTATTCTGTTGTAATCAAACGCGACACCCATACCATGAAGTGTCGGTACACCAACGTCAGGTTGATCCTCCAACATGTCTACTTCTACTATAGCGATAGCAGCGTCCATCCATGCTGCTTCATAACGCTGAATGTACCTTCCGTAATCTATTGGTTCATGAGCTAATTTGATAGCGAGACTTGTCGCCAACAGCATGGACATAAATAAATGTACAGCAATCAACCTGAAACAGACAATGTATAAAACATTGGTAACGAATTGTTTTTGGCCGTGGTAGGTATACTTAGACAGACTTGAGAGTTTTGCCTTTTTTTAGGAACGGGTGGAAGCCTTCTAAAAGCTTGGAGTAAAGACTGGATGGGATTTTTACCTCACGGGAACCTCGATTGTGGCTACTTATTATAAGCATGTGTGAGGAACATCGGGTCCTCTTAGTCCCTGCGGTGTCAGTCACTACGATGCAACGGTTTTTACGGCACATCCCTATCGAGAACATCTTGTCTTCTAGAAAGCGGCTAGATTCCCCACTCTATGCGCCCGTAGCCCCAAAGGTTTGTCTATAAATTGTCTGCTTCAATATTCAGTCTGCTCTCACGATCCCACTCAGCGACCTCCTTTTGGGACAACACAGTCTCATATAAGGAGATTACCCTTCTCCCTACTAGTAGGACTTAATTAAGAATACGCTGGTATAGACAGAATATATGCCAGCGGGTAAATAGGGTCTCGCCCGGTTCTGCCAACTAGGTTCTGCCATTCAGAAGGGCTTCGACAACGTAGGTACTTGCATGAGTACCTATTCTGGTTATTGTTGACAAAAAGGCAGGACACCTTGCATTGTTGAGAACTTTAGGTCTAAATAACAGGCCCGCTTGTCCATGACGCTTCATATTATGTCGAACCAAGGCAAAGACGAGAGTAGAATTTGCATGCGGATAACCTTTAATGCAAGCGTTTAGGTATTTACCTTATATTAGTAATTGACGACATCAAGTGCAGTTGACATAAACAATACGCTACGTTAATAAGGGTTGTAGCGTGTTGTTGTTGTTGGGATATGCGTAGTGCGACAAATTCGACACATGAATTCGTACGACGCTTTTGTGTGCGTTTATGGGAAAGGTACTGAAGTGAATAGGCAAAATAGAACAAAGAACTTTACAAATAAAGCGACTTTATTAAGATGGCATCAGACTTCTATAGGGATTTGTATAACGATAAGACCTGAAGGACCAACATCCTATCAACGAAATTAAAAACAAAGTCCTGGCTTTAACAACGTCACAAATTAATTATTAAAATTTGTGTCCACTCTTCACTAGCTGGACACTATTTTTTTGGGGGATGATCATCCCCAAATGAACTTGGGTGGGGCGTGAGGGAGTAAGACTGACTAAAAACGTCGCTGCTCTTCCTGTTCCGAGCTGGAGCCGTGGTACATTATACCTACCTATAGCTAATGCGTGTTGCGACTCTCATAATAACTGTGATATAACATGAGTATACATCATATTTTTCATGATTGGATTGAAGAATCATGTTTTCGAAATTAAAATCCTTTAGGTACCAAGTTAGTTGTCAGTATTCATACAGGTACGTTCATGAATAAGAAGTATAAATTATATTAATACTAGGATGTACTAAGCGATTGTATAGTTCATCATCATCTTTTTTTTTACTAGCAATTAACTAGTGCTTGACTGCGATCCCACCTGGTGGTAAGCAGTGATGCAATCGTTGATGGTGGATGGAGGAGGTGGAGGCGCACTAGTTTACTAAGAGCCTATTCACTCTAGACTTAGAGACACCAAAATTGTATTCGGACGGAAAGACTGCAGCCGGCAAACTGTTTCAATCCCTCGATGTACGCGGTATAAATGACGAGGCAAAACGCTTAGTCCGGGCCGCAGGTATCTCAACAACGTAAGGGTGGCTATTTGCCGTACGCCGGGATGTCCGAAGGTGAAATTGGGATGGCGGAATCAAATCGTGCAATTCCTGCGCACACTCTCCAAAATGCATCCTGTAGAAAACCGCAAGGCTGGCTACTCTGCGCCTGTACGTGCCCACTGCTAAGCAACGGCCTGCACTGTGATTCTGTAAGACTTCATTCTAAACTCCGAATCTGAATCCGCTGTGAGTAGTAGTACCCTTTTTTTTTTTTTTTTTTTTTTTTTTTTGTGAGGGGAAAATCATCAAATGACTTCTCCCGCCCAGGGCCGGGCAGGAGGGAGTGTCAGACTCTTACTGACTAAAAACCCCCCTGTTCCTTCTCCTGCTCTGTGCCGAGGTCGCGGTACCTTATTGCGCTTACCCCGCAGCCCCGGCTGAACATCAGCCCTTTAGGGCCCCGTCTGTGGTGGTCTATTGGCTCTTTGAGGCGCGCGCGGAACGCTACGCGCCGTACGCTCGGGCCTGGTTCTGGTCGGGCGGCGAGCTGCCCTTACTCGCCGACCGCAGGCCCGTACTTACGGTGGCCGGAGATCGTCCCTCGATCCCCGACGCCCGTAGTGTCGCCAGTTGCGGCTGCTGGGGCGTGAGGAGGAGGATTGCTCCCTCACGCGGGCCGCCTCTCTCTTTGCGAGCATGACCGCTTCACAAAAGGAGGAGACGGCGTCCCAGTTCCTCTCACTCCGCACCATGGCCTCGACTAAGGCCGGGCGCGAGAGGTCGCCGCCGCCGATCACTTCCCTGAGGATACGGCGGTGCTCAGCCCAGGCAGGGCATACCGCTACCGTATGCTCCACCGTATCCTCTAGGAGGTCCTCACAATGACGACACTCGGGCGTTTCCTCCCGCTGAATCCGAAACAGGAACCTACCGAAGCTGCCGTGCCCGGTAAGCACCTGCGTCAGACGGAAGGTGAGGACGCCGTGGCGTCTCTCAAGCCACTCCTCAAAGAGGGGTCTTACCGCTGCTATGGTAGCGTGCCCGGCCCTCGGTTGCGACAGTCGTTGTCTCCACTCTGCCATGAGATCTCGCCGGAGCTCATTCCGCCACGCACTAATTTGGCGCGGCAGAGGATCTTCGCCCCGGCGACGCGCGTCTGCGCGCAAACTGTAGACGCGCGCGAGCGCCTTCGCTTCTAGATCCCACGGCGGTGATCCGGCAAGGAGGTTCGCCGCCTCCCCGGAGATCGTGCGATACCCGCGGATTACTCGTATAGCCATGACCCTCTGGGACGCGACCAGCGTACGAGCCGGCCGCCGCTTCAAGTCCGGCGCCCACACAGGGGCACCGTAGAGGGCCATGGATCGCACAATCCCCATATACAACCTCCGGCAGGAGGCGTTTGGCCCCCCGAGGTTGGGAAGGAGCCGCTTGAGCGCGGCCCCAGACCGTTCCAACTTAGGGGCCAAACGACGAAAATGCTCCGTGAAGTTCCATCGGCTGTCGAGGACGAGACCCAGGTACTTCATCGCCGACTCGACGTCGATGTTAACTCCTCCTGCCGTTACTTGGGACCCACCTGGAGGTGGCGCGCTCCGACGGCCATAGAAGCACATGGCCTCGGACTTGTGGAGCGCCACCTCGAGTCCCAACTGCCGGATCCTTGCAACGACTGTCGCAACCGCTTGTGACATCAGGTCGGCCGCCGCCTGATGCGACCTCCCGTTCGCCAGCACCAGCGTGTCGTCAGCATAGCAGACAATGCTGACGCCGCTCGGGAGGTCGGTGCGTAGCACCCAATCGTACCCGATGTTCCACAGGAGAGGTCCCAGGACCGATCCCTGTGGGACACCGCGCGACACCTCTCGCCGATTCCACACGCCCCGGTGACCGGGGTAGATGACACATCTGTCCGTCAAGTAAGCCTCGACTACACGACGGAGATAGGCAGGCACCCGGTGGTACCGGAGTGCCTCCAAAATGCAGCTCCAGGGCAGCGAGTTAAAGGCGTTGGCGATGTCCAGAGACACCGCCACGACGACTCGCCTCCCGGCCAACGCTGTCCCCGTCGTGAGGTCCCTCACGCGCATGATGGCGTCCACCGTGGAGCGCCCTCTGCGGAAGCCGAACTGGCCGTCCGCTAAATCCGGCCCCCTTCCAGACAGGTGCCCGACGAGGCGGTCTGAGATTATCCTCTCGAACAGCTTTCCCACCTCGTCGAGCAGCACAATGGGCCGGTACGCGGACGGAGAGTCCGCAGGACGCCCCGGCTTCTTCACGAGGACCAGTTTACCCGTTTTCCACGACAGCGGAAACTGGCCTCTCTCCAAACATGCGCTGAACAGACCAAGTAGTCGAGGCCTGAGAGCCTCCGAGGCCAGGACCCAGACCTTGGCATGCAGCCCGTCAGGTCCTGGGGCGGTATTCTTGCCGCTCAGCCGGCGCACCGCCACTCTCAAATCTACCTCGGTCACTTCCGGAGCGGATTCGTCGTCGTCGTCGATGTAGCCCGCATTGGGCACCGCAGGGGGCGGGGGCATAGCCGGAGGCGTGTAACCCATCTGTGGTCGGGGGAATAGCGCCCCAACCACTTCGTCCACGACCTCCGGCCGGAGACTCTGAGTCAGTGGGGGCGCCCAGGTGCGGAGCTTATCACGCACCATCCGGTAGGGGCGTCCCCACGGGTCTCTGTTCAGAGTCTCCAACATCTCCTCGCGGGCCCGATCTTTGGCCCGCCGGATCTCCACCCTGAGGGTGGCCTTCGCCGCCCTGTACTCCTCGAGTAGTAGTACCCTAGCGCTACAACTGAGAGTTGATTTAAATTGACCGCAACATTTTGATAGATAAAGTATAAGATGACGTTAAAAGTGGCATTCTATAATGTAATTTCCCCGTCACTTCTACGCTCACTTCACACTCGAACAAGATTCAAAAACAAACAAATTTTAAAGAATCGACATGCTGTTCTCACTTTGAGAAGGTTTGAGCATTGATCAACATGTTTGCTCAAGCAAGATTTGCGTTTTGAAACTAAAGATTTGGAATTTGTAAGTCCAGGTTTCCTCACCATGTTTTCTTTCACTGAATGTCAGTGGCCTAAAAAAAAAAAAAAAAAAAAAAAAAAAAAAAAAAAAATTATAGAAAATACATGTAAGTCAGATTGGGACTTGCTCGGTTTTGAATCCGCACCCTCATACCTACACGCCGGGGTTGCGGGGTAAGCGCAATGAGGCACCGCGACCTCGGCCCAGAGCAGGAGAAGGAACACGGGGTTTTTAGTCAGTAAGAGTCTGACACTCCCTCCCGCCCGGCTCTGGGCGGGAGAAGTCATTTGATGATTTTCCCCTCACAAAATAATAATAATAAAAAACCCTCATACCTACACGAGAAACATCTTAACCTCCGGGGCTACACGACGTTAGCAAGTAGGTTACTATCACTTAATTAAATAATCACTTTAACTTGATACAGGACAAATATAAGTGTGGGAGACCCATGCTTCGGCACGAATGGGTCGGCTCGACCGGAATGATACCACGGGGTTACAGAAAACCGGCGTGAAACAACCACAGCGTTGTGTTGCACGTTACCGGTTGAGGTTACCGGAGGCCCAATCCTTCCTCTCCCCCAATCGCTTAATCTCCAAAACTCCAATCCTAAGAGGTCGGCAACGCACTCGTAACTCTGTTACGGATGTCCGTGGGCGGCGCTGATTGCTTACCATCAGGTAATCCGTCTGCTCGTTTGCCGGTCTACTTTATAAAAAGAAATATAGCTAAAAGGTATTTTCAAAAATATAATAATCTACTTACATAGTTAATTGTTGTATTGATGAGTGTAAGAAGACAGGCACGTCCGTGTAAAGTAAGGCACCGATGACTTACTAAGTTTCAATCGCTTAATGTTTCTCACAAATGATATTTTGGATTCCACTTCTCTTACGTCATGTTCTTTGATACTTGTTTGTAAACTATGTTTTATGTAGTACCTAGGTACTTACGTACAGATTGGATCTGTTATATACTTAAAGCTTATTGACATAGCTCATGACTTTTAGGTATATAGCGTTGTTTAATCAGCTGTTCGGTTCCTATAGATTATCGCGTGATGATAGTCTTCCTGGATAAATAGACTAACTAACACAAAAAGATTTGCTCAATTTGAACTAGAAGTTCTGGAGATTAGCGCGTCCAAACAAACAAACTCTACAGCTTTAGTATAGATTCGACTTTGCTTACCAAACATGTTTGGTCACATCAAAAATGTGCCACCTTTGAGCGCTTTAAAATGCACGCAATAATTTTTTTTAAGAACACGTTGCTCCACGCTATGATTTTCTCTCGTGTCTTGGTTGCGGTTACAAACATACAATTTCACATACACCATGACACCCAGACCAGGAACAACAATTGGTCACACAACAGTGGGTCACACAAAGAGTCGTTTCGTGCGGGAATCGAACCCGCGACACGTTGCACGGCGGCCAGTTGCCCAGCCACCGCACCAACCGAAAAAATATTATAAAGTGTGAGATATCCTAAGTTTCATAGAAAATCAAATAATTTTGATGATTGGAAAATTACCAATTATCACTCCTAAAAGTTGGATGCTGCTTCTGGAAATTGAGAGATAGTTAGTTTTATTTTGAATCTCACATCATCAGCTTTTAGTGTCCATTGCTCAGCAAAGGCCTTTTCACACGGAGAAGGTAGTGCCTTAATCACCACGCTAGATCAAGGCGGATTGGCGATTTCAAACTTAGAATAAAGCGGATGTCTGAACCTCTGGACCAACACGAAACAGTCTGGGGCCACCACGACATAAAATATAAATAAGGATCTTAATTACAAACTCAATTAATTGCAATCCATCATCAAATCATAGAGCTGGCTTGATGATGGAATTGGAAAGTCGAAAAGAAATATTGGGCTGATTTGTTACTAGAGAAGTTGATTAAAAAAGCGTGTTTTTACTCTTTTAACTATGAATTTATTTTTATTGTTATATTAACAAAGATAATATTCTATGATTAATGATATATTTGGTAACATTTAAAAGTCGGAGTTCGAAAAAAGATACAAATCCTACAAAAATAGACTATAATAAAAAATACTTAGGAAAGCAAAAAGAAATGGTCCAAGTGCGAAGCAGACTCACACATCGAGAGTCTCGTAACACCTGTACCTTTATAATAAAAATATTTTTAATTTTAGGATTCCGCAATTTTTCCTGTGTCCTCCGCTCATTCTGATCTTCTCCGGGGGCTTGTAGATGTTCAATGTTTGTGCGTATATCGTCTCGAAAGTTTGTAGGGAGTTTCCACAGTGTTCCATTTTTATAATGAGGTCCAGTACGTCGAAAGTTAGGCCTTGAAACATCCCTCTGGTCTTTTTAGTACACAGCTTGGCGCGTCACAGAAGCACTCGTTTCTTGGAGGATCTAGAAAATACACATAACATCATTCTTGTCGGTTCGGAACAGAAGTCACCTACATACTGTATGAATATTATAAGTTAAAAGCAGCA